CAGATGCTGGCCCCCGACGGGGCGCGCCCGGGCACGCGGTCTGCGCTGCGCGGAGCCCCAGGGTGGGAGCCAGGCCGCCCCTGCGAGCAAAGCTGGCTGTGACCCGAGCTCTGCAGCCGGCGCCCAAAGCCTTTTTTTTCCGAACCGGGTTGGTCTTCTGAATCCCAGCTTTCGACCAGGATGGTGGCGGAGAACTGGTGTCCTTCCAGCCGGAATACAAATGCTCACCGTATTCCTTTTCTGTAGTTGTGACTCCCCCCCTCCCAAAAAAGTGGCAAAAACTGAAGGGTGGGCCTCTTTGGACTCCCAGTTTGAGGGTATAGCCTGTCATGGTGAAGATGGTGTGACAGGAGCATGAGGTAGCTGCTCGTATTCCATCTATTTTCAAAAGCAGAGGTGACTTTCGGTGCCCAGCGCTCTTCGCTCCACCCATTCAGTCCTACAAGCTCAAAGCACTTACAGCTCTTTTTTCCACCTCAACCCAGTCCAGAAACTCCCACACAGTGGGCCGTGAGGTTTGTTGCCTAGCCGATTCTATATCTAATGGAATTGACAATATCACCCTCAGCAGATTGCAGTCCTGATAAGAGCAAGATTAGTTCACTCCAAGTGGGTTATTTCCCACCTTCGTTTTCATTCTCTTGAGAAATATTTCTCACTGTCGTCTCAGGCTGTCCATAGGCCTGTGCTGATGGACGCAGTGTGGTGTGTGTGTGTGTGCCCTCACAGGGCTTGACACAAAGCAACACCTGAGAGGAGCCAGGTAAGTACTGAAATAGTTAGGTCAGGAGTATAGTAGAGCAATGCCTGAGTTCTACAGTGATATATGGTTTACCATTTGAAAAGATAAATTCTGTGACACTTCTGTTTTGGCAATTACTTTTTTCCTACCTCTTTTTACTTTATTTTTAAAACAAGCTTTTTTGATTTTACATGACAATCCCAGTTCCCTCTCCCTCCTCTTCTCCCACTCCCCATTTCCCCCTACTGTGCCCCACATCCACTCCTCAGGGTAAGGCTTTCCATGGGGAGTTAGTAAAGTCTAGCATATTGCTTCGAGGAAGGACCAAGGCCCTCCCTATTATATCTAGGCTGAGCAAGGTATCCCTTCATAGGGAATGGGCTCTAAAAAGCCTGCTCAAGCACTAGGTGTAGGGGAAAGGGCCTGATAAAAAAACCCACCCTGGCTCTGAAACCGCAACCAGTGAAAAATATTTTAGCCCCAAACCCACTTTGGCCCTAGAATTAGAGCCAGTGAAAGAAATATGCCCTGGTCCCAAAACTGTAGTCAAAAAGGTAAAATGGCCCAGTGAAAGAAACACACTTTGGCCCTGCAATCAGCCATCTCTGACCCTGACCAACTAAACTAGCCTCTTCTCCAAGGAAAAACTCTGCCGCTTAGAAGCCCTGTATAAGTCCTGTGCCTGTTTGCTGCCGTCTTCCACCATGAAAGAGGCATGCACTCTTCTGGATTCTTCCCTCCCAATAAATCTCTCTCGAATGAGGTTTGGGTGAAGACCTCCTTTCGCCTGAACAGAATAGAGCCAGGCAGCGCTGTAAACACTTCCTCTGGGGAAATCTAGCCATGCCGAGTTGTTACAACTTTGGTGGAGAAGTCAGAGATAGAGGATTGGAGTGCAGCAGGGCTGTAACTTTGGCTGGTGAAATCTTCCCCTAGCCGAGTGGAATTGTTACACTACTGGGGCCCCAGAGTCAAATTGTAACAACTTTGCTAGGGAACGAAGCAGAGCTGTTACTTTGAGGGCTGTAAACTGCTGCGCTTACTGTGACCTGTGCTGTTCACTGCCTCCCAACTGCCAAAATACTCCACCCAAGCTGTAACACTCAGTATTCCCTGGCCCCCAACTGCCAGAATACTTTCCCATCTGTACTGCAATGCTTATACTAGGGATAAATCCTGGTCCCACTGCCAGTGGGCCCACAGACTGCCCCAGCCACACACACAACTGTGACCCACATTTAGAGGGACTAGTTTGGGCCTATGAACGCTCTCCCGCTGTCAAACCAGAGTCAGTGAGCGCCCACTAGCACAGGTTAGGTGTTTCTGTAGATTTCCCCATCATGTTCTTGATCCCTTTGCTCATTTTATCACGCCTCTGTTTTGGAAATTACTTTAACTGTGTAAAGATGTGTTGCATTTGTTTATGCTGTGGAATGTTACTTTAACTGTGTAAAGATGTGTTATATTTGTTTATACTGTGGAATGTTACTTTAACTGTGTGAAGATGTGTTGCATTGGTTTATGCTGTGGAATATTACTTTAACTATGTAAACATGTGCTACATTTTTATGCTGCACTTGTTAAATGTTGAAAAGATGTGTTGCTGTTTTTCCTTGCCTGCCTAAGACACCAGATTGGTCTAATAAATAGCTGAATGGCCACTGGTTAGGCAGAGAAAAAATAGGCAGGGCTGGCATGCAGAGAGAATAAGTAGGAGAAATCTAGACTCAAGGGAATAAGAGGAAGAAGAGAACAAGGTAGAAATGAAAATGACCACGGCCAGCCAGGCAGCTGTAGAGACAGACATCTACAGACAGATGTAGAGACAGCAGGAAAGTAAGACATAAAGAAAGAAAGGTAAAAAGTCCTGAGGAAAAACGTAAATAAGGAGAAACCAGTTAAGTTATAAGAGCTAACAAGAAATGACATGAAGATAAGGCTAAGCTTTTATAACTAATACCAAGTCTCCCTATCATGATTTGGGAGCTGGTTGAGGGCCCAAAAAGAAAAGGTCTGGTACACACTTCTATGTAGAACCAATGTATCACTAGTTATCTTTCTGTAGAAATAGCTTTGAGGAACACTCTTTACCATCCACTGACATAACTCACTTGACATCAGAGGTCAAAGTTCAGGTCAGGTGATGGATTTACCATGGTAAAAGTGTGTCTTGTGACAGACAGCACTCGATGCTGTGGGCAGGGCGGTCAGAATATCCTCCAAGCCCCATGTAGAGAACTAGGTTGTCAACTTTCAGCATCCGCCCAAAACATGTTTACATAAATACAGTGAACAATGTATAACTATATGCATTTTACACTAAAATTATTTTAATTATACTACATAAAATCCATAGAAATTATTATGACAAAAATGTTAATTGGAAGCCATTTTTATGTAAAATTAAGATCAGTAACTTATGGAAAGGTTACTTTTAAATGCCTCTAAGAGACTCCTGAATTTTTTATAATTAATAAATATGAGCCATGCAATGCTGTTGACCCTAAAAAATCCTTATTGCTGTAGCACAAGAGATAAACATCTATAGCCTAACATTCAAATATCCACCATGAAACCTCAGCAATAAACAGATGGTTCCAACTAAGCAAGCAAGGGTTAGTTTTGTCTTGAATGTGAATGAGCCAGGCATGGAGGTCCAGACCTAGAACCTGAACATTTAGGAGACTGAAGCAAGACGACCCTGAGTTTGAGCCCTGCTGGGGCTGTAAAATGAGATTCTGTCTCCATTAGAAACCATAGAATTGCATTGCACTGGAATCTCAGAGCTCAAAAAAACTCATGACAGGTTTCACCAAATGTAGCAGTAGTAAAAATTAAATTACAGTAAACAACTGTAAAACTGAAATAAAATTTCAATAATTTAAAAAATGTTTGCAAGAAATATCAAATTTTGTTCATACTAAAATAATGTTACCAGAATATTGTTGCAAATGATAGATATGCATACACACATATGATAAAGGGTAAAGCATTGTGGGAGTCAATATTATTCTGAATATTTTTCTCTAGTATCTTCTATCCTTTAACCAAGAAGGTATTTACAATGAATAGTTGCTGGGAAACGGAAAATCTTTTTTCCTTAGTGGAGTGTAGCACAGCACAGGGTATTCCAGGGTGCACTGTTGTGGGTTTGCGTTTTTTTGTGGGGTGGTAGGTTTTTTGTTTTGTTTTTGTGTTGTTTATTTTGGTTTGATTTTGGCTTGGGTATTTCTTAAGAGGCAAAAGAATGTGAACTTCCATGGGTAGAGAGTTGAGAGGACTTGGGAGAGGAAAGAATTTGATCAAAATATATAGTACTAAAAGTTTTAAATACAAAAATTAATTTTTAAAAATAAATAAAAGGTATTGCCCAGACTATTCCAGAAATCATTTAAGAGGTTTAAATTGTATATTCTGGATAATTTGATGAATTCTCACACTGCTGAATCATTCCTTTGTCCACTGTATTTATCTAGTATATATCAGATGCCCTTTAACTATCTCAGTTGCCAAATTGAGGAGATTTAGGTGCCTTATTTTTCAAGGCACCTAATATTATTGCCAATAATATTCCCAAAATCCAAGTACAGTGATTCTGGAATTTTTATAACGGTATGTCCTTCCATTCTGTTTTCTAAATAGTTGTCACTAGTAATCTCTTACTGTGTATGTTACTGTCATAGGTATTTATTCATAAGAAAGGCACAGTGTATACATAAGAGTTCAGTGCGATCCACAGTTTCAAGCATCCACAGGGATTCTAGGACAGACCCTTCACAGATATGGGGTGTTATTGTATCAATGTATTAAATGTTTGACACCATCAACCATCAACTTAGGTGAAAGGTTTTGAGGCTG